CTGAGGATCCCCCTCCAATATTGACAAAGAAGTACAACCTGTAGCACAACGTTTCAGAAGAGTTCCCTTCCGTGTACGTAAGAACATTGAGGAACAGCTAAAGAAAGATGAAGAACTAGGGGTAATTGAGAAGGCTACAGGAGCAACACTGTGGGTATCGCCGTTGGTTGTCGTTCCTAAACCAGGTCAAGTGAGAGTGTGTATTGACATGAGCTGCCAATCAAGCAATCGATTGTATAAATAGGTCTAAGCTAATGTTCTTACTCTATAATAGCGATATTGAGGGTAAAATGTTTCAAGCCTTATATAATTCAGTTTCTTCTTGTGTCAAAATCGGCTCGAACACCACCCCTTACTTTGAATATCTGGCTGGAGTGAGGCAAGGATGTATATTGAGTCACTTGCTATTCTGTCAATATATCGATTAGCTATTAGACTTCATGGTGAGGGGGGATGTTAGAGGGATATTTACTATACCAAATGTTGAGGATACTTTCATGTTACCATATGCAGATGATTTGGGTCTTTTGGCAGATAATGTTGGTGATCTTAAGAGAAATATTAGTGTACTTGAAACTTTTTGCAAAAACTTTGATATAACAGTTAATCGCAAGCAAGACAAAAGTTATAGTTTTCAGATTAAGCCTATACTCCATTATGGTTTTCAAATTTGGGGCTATAAAGTTTGTAAATTTGCACTAGGAATCAGTAAATATAGCTCGTCAGCTGGGTCATTAGGAGAGTGTGGTCGATATGATTTATCTATTAGTTATATATTATCATGCATGAAATACTGGATCAAATTAACTATAATGCCAGCTGACAGATATCAACATCAAGTTTACACAATGTTAAAACTGTTTGATGAGTAAGGTAGAGTCACCTGGGCAACAAAACTGAAAATGTTGTTATATTCAGTAGGTATGCAGAATATGTTATCCATTTAAAGATCTTTCTGGACTCCTTAAGACAAAGGTTAATTGATATAAATATTCAGAAAGGTCTGATTGTATTAATAATAGTGAAAGTCTTGCTGAGTATAAGGTTTTGAGAATTGAGCCAGGAAGCCTACTTGTCAGTAATCATCTGTAAACATGTTAAGAGAAATATCACAAAATTAAGACTGAATTTATTTCCCACTGCTTCAATTTTGTATAGAAGGAAATTGTTAAACAGTCCTAATTGTAAGATTTGCTAATAGATAAATCATATCGACCACACTCTCCTAATGACCCAGCTGACGAGCTATATTTACTGATTCCTAGTGCAAATTTACAAACTTTATAGCCCCAAATTTGAAAACCATAATGGAGTATAGGCTTAATGACAGCATCAAAAATCTTAAAGGCAGGCTTTACGGTGGGATTAGTTTTCCGCAGTAGAGATGTTATAGGACCCATAGCCTTTTCAGCCTTAACTGAAAGGCTGTACAAGGCCTTACTCCAACACAACCTTGATGAGAACAGAATTCCTAAATAGTTATAATGTGTTACAGTTTCTACTGGGTTGTTATTGAAGTAAAATTTCTCATAGCCTCTAAGAACACCTGCATTCCTGAAAACTATAACTTTTGTCTTGCTTGCGATTAACTGTTATATCAAAGTTTTTGCAAAAAGTTTCAAGTACACTAATATTTCTCTTAAGATCACCAACATTATCTGCCAAAAGACCCAAATCATCTGCATATGGTAACATGAAAGTATCCTCAACATTTGGTATAGTAAATATCCCTCTAACATCCCCCCTCACCATGAAGTCTAATAGCTAATCGATATATTGACAGAATAGCAAGTGACTCAATATACATCCTTGCCTCACTCCAGCCAGATATTCAAAGTAAGGGGTGGTGTTCGAGCCGATTTTGACACAAGAAGAAACTGAATTATATAAGGCTTGAAACATTTTACCCTCAATATCGCTATTATAGAGTAAGAACATTAGCTTAGACCTATTTATACAATCGATTGCTTGATTGGCAGCTCATGTCAATACACACTCTCACTTGACCTGGTTTAGGAACGACAACCAACGGCGATACCCACAGTGTTGCTCCTGTAGCCTTCTCANAGTACCCCTAGTTCTTCATCTTTCTTTAGCTGTTCCTCAATGTTCTTACGTACACGGAAGGGAACTCTTCTGAAACGTTGTGCTACAGGT